AGCATCGGGGTCTTTTCCAGTGAGTGAGTTCTTTGAATCAGGTGGTCAAAGTATTGGAGCGTCAGCATCAGTTCTTCCATACTATTTAGCTGCCACATGTTTGTGGTTTTTTTTTTTGTAGTTGATTTCTAATCTCATAGAGTCATGGTAGGAAACGATGTCTCATATGATTTCAATTTTCTTAACTTTAAGAAGGTTCACTTTGTTGTGCAACTTGTTGTCAAGCCAGGAGAATGTTTCATGTGCACTTGAGAAGAATGTGTATTCTGATGCTTTTGGATGGAATGCTCTTTAAATTTCAATTACTTCCATCTGGCCTAATGTGTCATTTAAAGCCTGTGTTTCCTTATTGATTTTCTGTCCAGATGATCCGCCCATTGATGAAAGTGTTAAAGTTCCCCACACTTAACTGTGTTACTGTTGATTTGTCCTTTTATGGCTGTTTGTATCTGCCTTAAATATTGAAATGCTATGTGCATATTTATTAATAATTGTTATATCATCTCCTTGGGTTGATCCCTTGATCATTATGCAGTTTCCTTCTTTGTCTCTCATAACAGTCTTTATTTCCAAATATATTTTGTTGAATGTGAGTATTACTAGTCCAGTTTTCTTTTGATTTTCATTTTCATGGAATACTTTTTTCCATCTCCTCACTTTCAGTCTGTATGTCTTCCTAGATCTAAACTGGGTCTCTGTAGGTACCATACATACAGGTCTTATTTACATATCCACTAAGTCAGTCTATCTCTCCTTGTTGGAGTACTTAATCTCTTTATGTTTAAGACAATTATTGATATGTATTTTCTTATTGCCATTTAGCTGATTGTTTTGGATGTGTTTTATATAGTGCCTCCTTTGTTCTCTTCTCTTGTGATCTCATGACTAACTTTAGTGTTATGTTTGGATACTTTTTTATTTTCTGTGTGTATCCATTGTAGATTTTCAGTTTGTTGTTACCATGGGATTTTGATAAAGAAGTCTATATATAGCCAAGATTGTTTTAAGTTGCCGGTCTTTTCATTTCAAGTGCATTTCCAATATTCTGCATTTGTGCTCTCCTAACAATTGCTGGTTTTGATATCATACTTGTGTATGAATTATTTCCTACCTTTACTATATGGTTATCTTCACCAGTGAGCTTTTCTATTCATAATTTTCTTGTTTCTAGCTGTGCATTTTCTTTTTCATCCTAGAGAAGTTCTTTTAGTACTTGTTGCAAAACTGGTCTAGTGATGCTGAATTCTCTTAGCTTTTGCTTGTCTATAACCTTTTTATTTCTTTGTCAAGTCTGAATGAGAGCCTTACTTGGTAGATTATTCTTGGGTGTTCTATCTTTTCATCACTTTAAATATATTGTGCCATTCTCTTCCAGCCTACAGAGCTTCAGCTAAGAAATCAGCTGGTAACCTTATGGGAATTCTTTTATACATTATACATTGTTTTTAATGTTTTTTCTTCATCTTTAATTTTTGTCAGTTTGATTACTATGTGTCTTGTATGCTCCTCCTTGGGTTTATCCTTCCTGGTACTGTCTGTTTTTTGTGGACGTGGGTGACTGTTTAATTTCCCATGTTGGGGAAGTTTTCAGCTACTATCCTTCAAATACCTTCTCAGGTCCTTTCTCTCTCTTTTCCTTCTGGGACCCCTTTTAATGCAAATTTAGGTGCATTTAATGTTGTCCTAAAGGTCTCTTAGACTGTCTTTGCTTCTAATCATTCTTTTTGCTTTATTCTGTTCCACAGCAGCAAATTCTACCATTCTGTCTTATAGCTTCCTTATCCATTCTCCTGCCTCTGTTCCTTTGCTGTTGATTTGTTCTAGTGTATTTTTCATTTCAGTTTTTGTATTGTTCTTCTCTGTTTGTTCTTTAGGTCTTTGTTAAATATCTCTTGTATCTTCTCAATCTGCTCCTCCATTCTTCTGAAATTCTGGGTCATCATCTTCACTATCATTATGCTGCATTCTTTTTCCAGCAGATTGCCTACCTCTACTTCACTTAGTTGCTCTGGGGTTTTACCTTGCTCCTTCATCTAGGACATCTTCCTCTGCTGTCTCATTTTATGTGACATTCTATGACTGAGGTTTTTGTTCTGCAGGCTGCAGTTTTTTTCCTTGCTTCAGGTGTCTGCTCTCTGCTGGATGAGGCTGTCTAAGAGGTCGATGCAGGCTTTCTGGTGGGAGGGACTTGTTCCTGCCCAGGGATGGGTAAAGTTGGGTCTTGTCCCACTAGTGGGCAGGGCTGTGTCAGGGAGCTTATTTATTGAGTAGCTGAGTGCTGATGAAGACTTTAAGCAGCCTGTTTGCTGATGGGTAGGGCTGTGTCCTCTCCCTATTGGTTATTTAACCAGATGAGGCCCAACACTGGATCCTACAAACTGTTGTGTGGAGTTAGATCTTGATAAGAAAATGGTGATCTTTAAAAGGATTCACACCAATGAGTACTCTCCAGAATTATTACTGCCACTGTCTTTGTCCCAGCAGTGAATTGCACGCCCCCCCCATGCCACCCTCCAACCTGTGCCTTCTCAGAAGACCCTCTAATACTAGCAGACAGGTCTGGTCCAGTTTCTTATGAGGTCCCTGCTTTTTCCCTGGGCTTTGGTGTGCATGAGACTTTGTACGCATCTTCCAAGAGTGGTTTGTTTCCCCCAGTCCTGTGGAACTCCTGAGCTCCAACCCCACTGGCCACCAGACCCAGATCCTCTGCGGCTTCCTCCTCCCATTGGCAGACTGCTCCCTGCCCCCCGCCGCCCCCAGTACAGGAAGCCTGATGTGGGGATCAGAGCTTTTAATCTTGTGGGAAAACTTCTGTGTTATAATTATTTTCCAGTTTGTGGGTTGCTCACATGGCATGTATGGGATTTGATTTTATCATGATTGCACCCCTCCTACCATCTTGTTGTGGCTTATTCTTTGTCTTTGGATGCATGGCATCTTTTTTGGTAGATCCCACTGTTTTTTTGTTGATGGTTATTCAGCAGTTAGTTGTATTTTGGTGTTGCTACAAGAAGAGAGAGTGAGCTCATGTTCCTCTACTCCACCATCTTGTCTCTCAATCTAGTCTCTAATGATTTTAAGGAGCTATGAATTAGTATTAAAAAAAAAAGTTCATTCAAATTTATAGCATTTTAATCTAAATTAAAAATATAAACGTAAAAGCAAAACAGTTTTTTAATGGGAAAGATAAATAACAGTCAGATAACCAATACAAAAATTAAATAAAAATTTCATTTACTTAATAAATTTTTAATAAAGACAATTATCCATTTTCATTTACATAGTAAGAGCATGGATACCCTTAGATTTATTTAACTTTTTCTCTTCCTATTCATTTAAAATTTTTTCTCTTAAAATTATGGATTTTTTCAAAATTGACATTATTTTCTCTTTCATTTTCTTCATTAGAAAGTGTGACCTTTTGTTTATATGCTACTTATGATTAATCTTTACATTTAAAAAATATTTTACCTTTATAATATACATTTTTCTAACAATGACAAAAAGGAACTATCTGCAACTTCTCTTCCAGCCAAAATAAATGTTTTAGCATCGGGAAGCAACAGGAGGCAAAGTCAACTTTCCTTCTGGTTGTACAGAGAATTAGGTTTATGGGCAAAGGAGTTGCTTGCTGGGCCTGCTTTTTTTCTTCTTTTTTAACTTCCAATTTGGTATTGGAGTTTAGCTGATTAACAATGTTGCGAGAGTTTCAGGTGGACAGCAAAGGGACTCAGCCACACATACACAAGTATTCATCCTCCCCCTAACACCCCCTCCCATACAAGCTGGCCATACATACACAAGTATTCATCCTCCCCCTAACACCCCTCCGGTACAAGCTGCCTCATAACACTGAGCGGAGTTCCCCGTGCTATTCAGGACTTTAAGACCAGCTCTACCACCCACTCCTGAGGAAGCTAGCTTACTTTGATAAGAGAGTCTTTCACTTGCTTTTGGCTTCAGCCAAACACGAGCCTGGTGTTTCCAGATGGAGATCAGTACCACTGTAATTATTGCACAATTCTTGTGATACATTTCCTGGTTAACTATTCAGAAGACTGTTCACATTCAAAGCCTTATGCATCTGATCTTGGTGTTAACACACTGGTCCTATTCTAGTCTATTATTTCCCTGTATTGCTAGTGGTCTTTGTAGCTCTGTTGAGGGCTTACCTCGTAGCTCAGTCAGTAGAGTCTGCCTGCACTGCAGGAGACCTGGGTTTGATTCTGGAAGATCCCCTGGAGAAGGAAATGGCACCTACTCCAGGACTCCTGCCTGGAGAATCCCACAGACTGAGGAGCCTGGTGGGCTCAGTCCATGGGGTTGCACGAGCCGGACATGACTTAGTCACTAAATCACCACCAGCACAGCTCTGTTGGATTTTAGCATCAACTTGATCCTACTTATATATCTTCCCAAAATTCCTAAATGCTTGGGGCTTTCCAGTTTTCCTGCTTTATTGTTTCGTATTTTTACATTTCTTCTAGCATCTTCATGTGAATTTAGGAAAAGGGATATAGGAGTGCATGCATTTAGTCAGTTACCTTCCTTTAAATGAAAATTTGCAATTAAAAACATCAAAACAAAACCTAAAAACTCATATTAATAAGGATAGTTTTATTGACTTGTAAGACAGGGCACATAAAAATCAAATATTTGAGTAAAATTCAACCCTTCACTCAAAACTAGAAATTTTAAATATTAATATGTACATTTTTAGCATGTGTCTAAATTATTAACTACTTATTTATTATTTAAAAACTTAAAGGCAGATATTTACTTATGCACTGGATCCCCAAATAGGTAAAAAGAATAATCAAATAAGTTTGTTATCAATTGAGACAAATTAAAATTATTACTTAAGGAAAAATTGTTTCATATTAAGGAAATACAGTACATGCTTAATTAATGTCAGTTCCCACTCCCCTTTTCATATTAAAGAATCACTCTCCTCTCATTCCTCCTAAGCAGCATATGAAAATCCCATATATAAAAATACCTTAAAGTTTAATCTTCCCTAATATTATCTGATCATAAATTTCTTTGGTCAAAGGAATATATGATTTTTTCAAGTTATCCATGAAGTAAAGTGGCTCAGAAATTTTCAATGGACTAAATCCTTCTTCCACCAACTGAAACTTCTGTAGTTTGAATGTCCCTGTTGCTTCCATCTTTTCCTATAAAGCAATGACCTGGATTAGTGGAATCATTTAACATTACCTATAATATACAAATAATATATTCAATAATACAGACCATAATATTTAATTATAACATTTTTATATCCAGTAAGCATCTCTATTTTTACTACTAATAATTTAACATTAAAAATGTTTAGATTTTTAAATTCTAAGTGCCCTTTAGAACACTTAAATCTTTACCTTGATTTTCCTGTAAACTTCATTCAATATATAAGAAATATGAATATAGTTAATAACTGATTACAATTGATTATAAATATGTCTAAAACATAGATTTATCTCTCCACTCCAACATCAATATGATATCATGTACAAAGAATGCTACTAGACTGTAAGGAGATAAAAGTTACAAAAGACAGCAAACTATTCCACAAGGCAGAACACTGCAAGAACCAGAGAGGATAAGGAATGATCTAAAACTTGGGTTCCCAAACTATACACTGAGGTGTTTCATGGTACCTCAGTGAATTGCTGGGGTCTCCATAGGATATTTAAATGTTTCAAGGTAAATCCAGTGACATCTGATGTCACATGAGAAAACGTCTGGCTCAAGGTACTGAACTCTTCACAGTTTCAATATCAGTTTGTGATACATTCTTTTCCATGATGTCATACCTCTGGGAAACAGGGTTTTCAGTGGTTGCTATCATAAAAAGCAAGCATAACCAAAATCAATGTGGACTATGGAATTAGTCTGGTCCTGTTCAATAAAATGCAACTCCAAAATTTGAGGAGCTATGTAATACCCAATGTAACATCTCCTGAATACATGTGACTATTTAAATATGAAATAAAAGCATTTTCTTTCCATGTATATGCATTATCTTTCCAAATAGCAACTAATTTATTAGATGTAAATATTTATTTTACTTTGTTCTAACTACTGAATAAATGAATGCTTAGGTACTTGTTTTGACCCAAGTGAAGTTGCTCAGTTGTGTCTGACTCTTTGCGACCCTATAGACTGTAGCCCACCAGGCTCCTCCGTCCATGGGATTTTCCAGGCAAGAATACTGGAGTGGGTTGCCATTTCCTTCTCCAGGGGATCTTCTCGACCCAGGGATCGAACTTGGGTCTTCCACATTGCAGACAGAGGCCACGGGGAAGCAGTAGGTTTTGACCCAAGAGTGCTATGAAATAATTACAAAGACACTAAAGATGCTATGGATCTAGAAAGCTTACAAATCTTTGCTTTAAGGAATTTAAAGGAGACAAGGAATTTAAAGGATCTGTGTGGTTTCAGGCATAAAGAAGCAACCTTGTTTTAACTCAGATGACATGTAGGGTCCATATAACTTACAGGTTCTATGAGTAGTTTGGCCATTTTTATACATCCTTATGAGCTAATTCAACTAAATCTACTTCTTTTTGAACCTTCTTCTCTAATTTCATCCCCTATCCTACACTGTCATCACAGAATTAGATATAACTGTGTAGAAGCATATATTATTTTTTCTCTTTTAGAAAACTAGAAGTTCACTACATAAAATTTGATGTTCTATCTTTTTTTAAAAAAATAACAAAAATATTATACTAGGTATTTTTCTCCAGATTAGGTAATTTTCATCAAAGTACCACAATTTAATGGCTTAATGAGGGTTCCTCTAATTATAATATGCTAATTAACCTTACACTTGTTCTTGAACTTATAGAGAACAGGAAAAAAAAAATAACATTTTATACATAACATTTGTGCATCTTTAGTTATGTCCCAAGAGTAAATTTTTGGAACTGAAATTACAAAATCAAAATATACGCAGATTCTAAGAGTGTGATCACACATTTACCAAATTGTTTCCTAGAGTGATGACAACAATTTGTGCTTCCACAAGCAGACTGAAAGGACTGGTTTAACTGCATCTCGCCTGTATTAAGTAATATCACATTTAAAATTTTTTTGTAAATTTATTGGCAAAAAGAATCCTTTTAAAATATGTGCTAAACAAATTTTTAATAAGATAATCATTCTATTCCTTTTGTCAGAAGTAACTTATACTTTTGTGTTTCTTAGATCAGATCATTTATTAATTTATTTATTAAATTATTTATTTATTTATTAAATAATTGTGCTGCCAACTGTCCTGCACTATGCATGACATTATAGCAAATACTGTAATAAACATAACTCTCATGGATCATGTTTTTTAGGTGTTTAATGATTCTAAGGCTATGGTTTTTCCAGTAGTCATGTATGGATGTGAGAGTTGGACAGTGAAGAAAGCTGAGCACTGAAGAACTGATGCTTTTGAACTGTGGTGTTGGAGAAGACTCTTGAGAGCCCCTTGGACTGCAAGGAGGTACAATCAGTCCATCCTAAAGGAGATCAGTCCTGGGTGTTCAATGGAAGGACTGATGTTGAAGCTGAAACTTCAATACTTTGGCCACCTCATGCGAAGAGCTCACTCATTGGAAAAGACCCTGATGCTGGGAGGGATTGGGGTCAGGTGGAGAAGGGGATAACAGGGAATGAGATGGCTGGATGGCATCACCGACTCAATGGACATGAGTTTGGGTAGACTCCGGGAGTTGGTGATGGACAGGGAGGACTGGCGTGATGCAATTCATGGGGTCTCAAAGAGTCGGACACGAGTGAGCGACTGAACTGAACTGAAAGATTCTAAAATATCTTCTAAATTTGTACAAGACTGATTTAATCTTTGGAGGAGTCCTGTGCCCAAAATACTTCTTTTGATTAATGATCATGAATTTTAAGTTGCCCTTGGAGGTACATGTTTAAAATATTATTTGATCCATCAACTTTCTACTCCATTAAAATATATTCTTCTGGGGCAAGATGGGAGGGACAGAAGAGAGCTGGGTGGAGTTAGAAAAGGGTAAGAAGAGGGAGCATGTGGTGGTGGAATTGTTCACATCTTGACTATGGTAAATGACACAAGCCATACAGGTTATAAAAATGTATGGACTGATACACACACACAAATGAGTACAAGTAAAAACAGAGGAAATTTTAATAAGATGAGTGGACAGTATCATTGTCAATATTCAATAATCTTTGTGAAAAATGGTACCATTAGAGGAAGCTAATGTAAAAGGCACAGATGATTTTTCTGTATTGATTTTTACCAGTGCATGTGAATCTACAATTATTTCAAAAATTTCAATTAAAAATGTGTTACTTCTTTTTCATAATTACTGGAGAATTCCATGGACTGTAAAGTCCATGGGGTCGCAAAGAATCAGACACAACTGAGCGACTTACACTTTGCACTACATTTATCATTTCAGAGCATTGCTATAAAAATAATCTGAGATAATATATGTAAAATCTCTTAAAATATGATGTAAATGGACATGTATTTGTGACGGTTTAGATGACCCATCTCATTGGCCAAGCAGTGACTTGGCCACAGCAATTACTCAGCAAATATTTTAAAAAAGAATATTAAGTCAGCTGTTGCTCTATTAAGGATCTAACAGTGATATGACACATATACCCAGAAAAATTTTACATGATTATGTTAAGATAAGAAATAGTTGAGCTATTTCAAATCCTAAAAGATGATGCAGTGAAGTGCTATACTCAATACGCCAGCAAATCTGGATAACTCAGCAGTGGTCACAGCACTGGAAAAGGTCAGTTTTCATTCCAATCCCAAAGAAAGGCAATTCCCAAGAATGCTCAAACTACTGCACAATTGCATTCATTTCACATGCTAGCAAAGTAATGCTCAAAATTCTCCAAGCCAGGCTCCAACAGTACATGAACCATGAACTTCCAGATGTTCAAGCTGGATTTAGAAAAGGCAGAGGAACGAGAGATCAAATTGCCAACATCTGCTGGATCATCAAAAAAGCAAGAGTTCCAGAAAAACATCTACTTTTGCATTACTGACTACGCCAAAGCCTTTGATTGTGTGGATCACAACAAACCATGGAAAATTCTCAAGGAGACAGAAATACCAGACCACCTGACCCTCCTCCTGAGAAATCTGTATGCAGGTCAAGAAGCAAGAGTTAGAACTGGACACGGAACAACAGACTGGTTCCAAATCGGGAAAGGAGTACATCAAGGCTGTATATTGTCACGCTGCTTACTTAACTTATATACAGAGTACAGCATGCGAAATGCCAGGCTGGATGAAGCACAAGCTGGAATCAAGATCGCCGGGAGAACTATCGATAACCTCAGATATACAGATGACACCGCCCTTATGGAAGAAAGCAAAGAAGAACTGAAGAGCCTCTTGATGAAAGTGAAAGAAGAGAGTGAAAATGTTGGCTTAAAACTCAACATTCAGAAAACCAAGATCATGGCATCTGGTCCTATCACTTCATGGCAAATAGATGGCGAAACAATGTAAACAGAGACAGACTTTATTTTGGGGGGGGCTCCAAAATCAGTGCAGATGGTGACTGCAGCCATGAAATAAACGATGCTTACTCCTTGGAAGAAAAACTGTAAACAACCTAGACAGCTTATTAAAAAGCAGAGACATTACTTTACCAACAGAGGTCTGTCTAGTCAAAGCTATGGGTTTCCAGTAGTCATGTGTGGATGTGAGAGTTGGACTATAAAGAAAGCTAAGTGCAAAGAATTGATGCTTTTGAACTGTGGTGCTGGAGAAGACTCTTGTGAGTCTCTGCAAGGAGAGCCAACCAGTCCATCCTAAAGAAAATCAGTCTTGAATATTCACTGGGAGGACTGATGCTGAAGCTGAAACTCCAATACTTTGGCTACCTGATGGGAGGAACCGACTCATTTGAAAAGACACTGATGCTGGGAAAGATTGAAGGTGGGAGGAGAGGGGGACAACAGAGGATGAGATGGTTGGATGGCATCACCAACGCAACGGACATGAATTTGAGTAGGCTCCGAGAGTTGGTGACGGACAGAGAAGCCTCATGTGCTGCAGTCCATGGGGTCGAAAAGAGTCGTATACGACTGAGTGACTGAACTGATGTTAAGAGATATGGAGGACTAGTTTTGGGAAATTATTTTTGAGGCACAGTATTATATGAATAAATGGCTGAATAAATGAGCATGCAAAGTTACCTAGTAGCTGAGTAAATTTGCTTTCTTTTCACTGGACTTTTCTCCAGCAACCTAACAAGAGAGGGCCCACCTCGCAAAGGACTTCCCTATATCTCAGATGGTAAAGAATCCTCCTGCAATGCAGAAGAGCTGGGTTTGATCACTGGGTCAGGAAGATCCCCTGGAGAAGGAAACGGCAACCCACTCCAGTACTCTTGCCTGGAGAATTCCACAGACAGAGGAGCCTGGTGGGCTACAGTCCACAGGGTCACAAAGAGCTGGACACGAGTAAGTGGTTAACACACACACACAGCTCTCAAAACAAATGAGTTCAGAATTCCCCCAAAGATATAAAGTCGCTGAGGGAGACTGGACAGAATGAGGATAAAAATTAAAAGCAAAATTGCTTAAAGCCAATTGCCTTGAGGGTCTACACACATTCTGCAGATGCTCTGAGGCGGCCTGGTGGGATCTAATTTTAGGAATACAGCATCAATTATTTTCACAAAGCACAAAGACAAGTGTAAGATGTGGGTTTGTCTTGCCACCAACACGGAGACTATCATTTATCCAGATTGAAGAGGAGGAGGGCAACAAATAGGACAAGGGCAAAGACCAGCATTTTATTATTGTGCTCTTGTCTGTAATTAGGCTTCAAATATGGCATAAATTAGCATCCTGATGCTTTTCATTGTTCTTGAAATTTTCTAATAAAAACAAAATGAACATATTGTCTAAGTGGTATTATTTTGTAATTAAACTATCTTGTAAATTCCTGGTCTTAAATTTTAGGGGTAGGTAAAATTACCTGAATTCTTAAAAATTGTGGACAGGCGTAAGCTGGTAAAAATGTAACAACTTGCTCATAAACTTTTTCCAAGTCTAAAGACTTGTTTGGTTTTAAAGTAATAGAAGCCATTCCTGCTTTTCCTTCATAACCTGAAAATAAAAAGTTAGTAATAGAGTTAGTTTTACAAGCCGTAGGTGAATTTTTTAAAAATTCCTGTTCATTATACACTGTTACAAATATAGGCATTACATCTATTGCAGTAGTAACAATGCAACAGTAGCATGAATGAGTGGGTCTTTCCTTGAGCTTATGATTTACTGTCTAGAAATTATTTAGGAAAGAAAAAGTGTAGAATCTATGTTTAATTACCTACGCTACAAAAATAAAATAGATGGAATAGAAAAAACATAAATTACCCCTAATTTGCATGTCATTACTATCAATATGAAATATTAAGAGGAAACATTTTAAAGACAAATTTATTTTTTAAAAGTCATGTTAAGTATCAATGAAAAAAATAAGAAACTAGAGACTGATATTTCCATGACTAAATCCACAGATTACTTACTGCTTCACATCCCATCTTTTTTCCCAGGGGTTCGGAATCTCTTGTAGCATTTCCCCAGGACCCAGAGACTGTCTATTAAACAGACTTTTTCTTTGCTGCCTTATCCAAACATCCCCACCAACAGTATCCCCTGCACATGCAAACATCAGTTGGAAAATACTGTTGTTTGTTTACACACACACACACACACACACACACACACACACACACATGAAAACAAGGTGAAGGGGAATAGCTACACTGTGATTTCAAGTTGGTTACTTCTCTTTGCCATTTTCACCAACATGAGACAATACTCATATACATATTTATAAAGATGAGGCCAAACAGATTTTAAAATAACTTCTGAAAAAGACTCAACTTAACTACAAGTCAATGTTATTAAACATTTAAATTAGAACATGTTCCTGTCTAGTGGTATATATAAACTCTAGTCATCTAGTCATTATACATAGTGGTGTGTATAAATTCTAGTCATTTTTCTCATCATCAAGAGAAAAATAATAGGCCATTGAAAATCTGTAACTATTTCTAGCACTAAATAACTTGACTATAGTTTTCAAAAGATTTGCTTAAAAATACACACATACATTAAAACGCAATTGGTACCATTCCCCAGGTGTGACCGTGAAGTTTGCTAGCTTGGGGTTATGACGTCACTTTGCCAAGCCAAAACTAAGACATCTTAATATGTGAAAAATGAAATGTTCCAATTAGTAAGATTGTTGAAAACGAAAAAAAAAGTTTCATTTCATTCTAAGAATCCCTCCCAAACCTGAAATCTGTTCATACCGGGCACAGTCACACCATAGACATTTGCTTCCTGTATGAAATCCAGCATTCCAATGATATCACCAACCTCTGTGGTTGCTACATTTTCCCCTTTCCACCTAAACAAAAAACAAGTTCCAGTTAGTACACCTATATGTTAAGAATGAGGTACCCAGTTCTAAGTTTTAGTGCCCTGTATTTGGCTCTGTGCAGACACCTAATAACCAAAAATAATGGCAGTTTTCAAAATGAAAGACATTTCTAAGGAAGAACTTTGTAAGTCAACAAAATCAGTATCTGTTTTTCAGTTAAAATTACTTTATCTGTTATCTTATTGGTATAAACTGCTTACTGTAAAATGTTTTTTTTTAATGTCATAAAAATAACTACAAATCTCTTTGCTTTCTAATATATTGACAATAACAGTTAAGTACAAACATTCTCTATCTATAATGATAGAAAACCTGAAAGGAAAGTTATAGTTGTCTTTCAGTTTATTGAGCCTGTTTAATTTCTAGGGATTAACTTCTTTGGCTCTTTTAATGCATATGAATGAATATTTTTTAAAAATGATTTTACATAAGGTGCCCTTCTAACATGACACGAAGAAGGTGAGGAAAAAGGATGTTTCTGGACTGTCTATAGTCTGGTCCTCCACTGTTCTATAGTCATTGATTAGAAAACAAAATAAATTCATAAGCCTAAGATAAAGAATTAAAAAAACACATAAGAAAGGTAAATTTTGCTGTTTATTTTTGCCATGAAGTCAAGAATTAGGCAGTATTTGACTAAATTGTTTTTCTGTTTTAACCCTACAATTTAGACTTCACATCAGTCTGCCTGTATCATATTCTTAAAACAAGCAAAAAAAAAAATGAAGTCACTGATTTGGACCCAAGTGATCCATTAAGATAATTATAAAAATGACATAAAAATGTAACTTATGTTTCAATCTAGAAACAGATTGGCAGTGAATTTTTAAATTGGGAGCCATTACTGAGATAAAAGCACTCTGTGCCCTGAAGGTACAGAGCAGGTGGTGTATAATGTTTCCACAGAGCCTCCCTCAGAGCAGTGTTCCCAATCGAAAAACAAGCTTTGCAACCAATGCTATTCCATACCTGAAAGTGTCTCCAATCCGGTCCCAAAAATAAAGGAAATTCTCCTGGTCTTGGACCATTAAATCTCCTGTGTTAAAGTAAACATCTCCCTTCTTAAAAACATCACAAAGCAATTTCTTCTCTGTCTGCTTCTTATTCCCAGCATAGCCAAAGAAGGGATTCTTTTCACTCACTTGAGAAATGAGAAGTCCGGGTTCCCCTGAGAGAGAGGTATTTTCAGTGATTTGATTAAAACTATTATTACACACACTATGTGTGTACCTTGTTACATCTGACCAATACATCCAGTGTAGCTTATCCTTCTTTCCTCTGAACTTATTCTTATTATATTTGACATCAATTACTCTGGGTGCCCAAGTCTAGCGCACCCTTTTACAGGCTATAAAATAACTCTATAAATATAAATATATTATATTTACATATAAATATAATATATTATAATAATGTATAATATTATTATATTATTTATTTATATTTATAATGATATTTATTATTATATTGATATTATTATATTATATATTATATAATATATATTTATAATAAATATAAAATCTAATAAAATAAATTTATATTTACAAAGTATAAATAACTCTGGAAAAGCTAACAAAAAGGAAATAGAATGTAAAAAAAGTAATTTTAAATTTATTTTACATCCTGAGTGGATACACTAATGGCTATGTTTTTGGATTACATAGATTCTAACACCAATAATAATGGCCATAATATAAATAACAACAAAAATGATAATTTTAAATAAGATTATGATGGTGGCAATATTTATTTATTGGGCACTTACTATGGAGCAAGCCCCATGAGAAATGCAACTGTCATTACTTTTTCAGAGAGATTCTTTGAAGTGGATCAATATAATCCCTATTTCACAGGGAAGGTGCTAGGGCCCAAAAGAGTGAAGTGTATTAGTAAAGTTCAACAGATAGAAAGGAAGGGGCCTAGAACTCAAACTCAAGTCTCTATGATCTTTCTGTATAATATTAGATTTTATTTAATTAATATGTTATTACAAGTTTAAGAAGATGTTTATTCCTCTGGAAATCCTCAATAGACAGGAGATAAACCATGAATTTTTTTGGTTTTACTTATATTTAGACACATAATCTAAAATAATTTTTAATCAGGTATATTCAAATTAATCAAGATATTGTTCAGCAGTCAGCAAGGTAAAAAACTACTTCTAACAGTAGAAGACAAAGGGGACCAGCAATCACTTCCCCAGACGATTTCAAGGCCAATGACTTATTTTGGCCACTGTAAAGACAGTTAACATCTGTGTGACGAGTCTGATGAGGCTATTCCAGCAAACTCTAAAGAAGTTTCTGTTATTTTAACACGCTTTCCAACTCTTACTGTTCCCATTCCTTCTGGACATCGTGGGTTCCCAGGGCACACAAGCCATCTGCCAAAACTCTCCTGCCCTGCTTCAGCAGAGACCCCTCACTGTCACTGTCATCACCAATACCATCACCATCATCATCATCATCATCATCATCACTGCCACTGTTACACTTTAGGAGCACTTTCTGGGTATCACTATTCGAGCACTTTACATATGTATTCCATCTCAGTCTCATCAGAAACCTATTGCATCAGGCCCTCTTATTATCTTCATTTTACAGGTGAAGAAACTGAGGGGGTAAAAATAGCTCAGTTGGTAAAGAATCCGCCTGCAATGCAGGAGACCCCCGTTCAATTTCTGGGTTGGGAAGATCTGCCGGAGAAGGGATAGGCTACCCACTCCAGTATTCCTGGGCTTCCCTTGTGACTCAGCTGGCAAAAAATCCACCTGCAATGCGGGAGACCTGGGTTTGATCCTGGGTTGGGAAGATCCCCTGGAGAAGGGAAAGGCTACCCACGCCAGTATTCTGGCCTGGAGAATTCCATGGACTGTATAGTTCGTGGCGTCCCAAAGAGTTGGACACAACTGAGTGACTTTCACTTTCACATAGCTGCCAAATGTTGGAGTTTTTTTTAACCACCTCCATCTTACTCCATGCCTGCCTCCAGCTGACTCCAGGGCTTCCCAGACAGCTCAATTGGTAAAGAATCTGCCTGCAATGCAGGAGACCCCAGTTCGATTCCTGTGTTGGGAAGATCGGCTGGAAAAGGGATAGGCTACCCACTCTAGTATCCTTGGGTTTCCCTGGTGGCTCAGCTGGTAAAGAATCTGCCTGCAATGCGGGAGACCTGGGTTCTATCCCTGGGTTGGGAAGATTCCCTGGAGAAGGGAAAAACTACCTACTCCAGTATTCTGGCCTGGAGAATTTCACTGTAAAGTCCATGCAGTCGCAGAGTCAGATACAACTGAGTGACTTTTACTTTCACTTTCATCTGACTCCAAAGGTTCTCCTCCCTTGCTTATTTCATCAATCTACACTCCCTATATACATTTCAGAATTTTCTAAGCCTCTTATATTTTCCTTAAAATGTATATTCTTTCTTTTTCTTCTTCAGGACACAGGTAATAGTTCCTTACCTGACAAATTAATTATTGCAAATGCTTAAAAAGGTTAGAGTGTATTCTTATCTTTCCCTCTTAGGAATAATTTATGAAAGACACAATGATTTTGTTTTGGAGGGGTCACATTGCATGGCATATGGGATCTTGGTTCCCCAACTAGGGAGTGATCAAACCCATGCCTCACTGCAGTGAAAGCACAGAGAAAGACACAATGCTTTAATGGGAAAAAAACAAAAAACTGAGCAATCCTCTTTGAGAATTGCAAACTTATAAAGTAGATATTTGGGGACAATCTGCTTCTGAAAAACCCTGAGATTGCATAAGCAGTTTGGGGATCCAAGTTCCAATATCACATATTATGATAAATATAATAAATAAAACACACTAGAAGAGTGGGGATAAACAAAGGTCCTTTCAATCTCCTTAGAAATGACTTTTCTCTTAGACACTGTCTATAGAGTTGGATTAGAAAAAAAATTTGATAAATGCTCTGAGGCTTGAAATTCAGAGGATTGGAGTATTTGCTTTTTAATAGATAAGGCTCATCTTTTTGTCCAATCTTTCAGGTAGTGTAGGGCGGAGGGGAGGCGGGGAACAGGTCTATGAACTTTATCTCCATATTTGAAGTCATCTGAAATGCAGTTGAAACATTATGAGGCAGTAAAAAGTAACTTTGGCCTGATTTTCTCAGGCTGGATCTCAAACCAATTTTAAGGGCACATCTCTACATTTAATTTTCTACCTTGATTATATGCAGCTGCTAGTTAATTGGGGCACTTGCTTTGATTAAAAAATTTCTAACCCAAAACTATAAGGAAGACTAGCTTGGAGAAGGAGGAGCTGGACAACAAAGAGAAAGGGAGGGAGGTAACAAGTTACATGCCAGGCCTTCCACGGGGTTCTGCAAACATCATCTCATTTAGCTGTCAACAGCAACCTAATGAAAAAATATTATCACTGCTACCCTACATATAAAGAAAATGAGACTTTGATGGGTTAAGTGATTTGCCCCAAATTGGACAGTTTCTAAGTGTGAGAGCCCAGATTTAAATCCAAGTCTGTCTCACCTTCCTCTGTACATAGAATCATAAACTGCCATTCGTTTTTATATCTTGATGACATAGGACATTAGACATATGCCCCTGTAGGAGTGGTGGATTAAGAAAACTTTAAGGCCAATAGTAATCACTTGGAAATTTTTGTAATTACCAATCTGAGTGACCCACACGGGGCCTGTAACTTTTAACAATTAAACCATTCTACTTGCACTAAAAATCCAAATACATATCAGAAGTAACGATTCTTTCTTTTCTAAATTCAGTAACTAAAGAGAAATTCAGAAAATTTACCTGAAAAGGTATCTTCAAATACAGTAATCTTACCTTTTTTCACATCACTGCACCAGCCCTGCTCATCTCTAATGGGTTCATCTTTCTGAAAATCATACTTTATCAAGTGAAAAGTGAAAAAAAGCTGCAAAAGAAAAATTGAACAAAAACAAAATTTAGTAATTTATTTGTGCAATAACGTCCACTGGTAGGAGATTTAAAGCTCAGTCAGTTGAAATACTGTTAGTTTCAATTTACTGAACTTTAAACCCTGATGCTGGGAAAGAATGAAAGCAGAAGAAAGGGATGACAGAGGACAAGATGGTTTAATGGCATCACCGACTCAATGGTTATGAGTTTGAGCAAGCTCCAGGAGACAGTGAAAGACAGGGAAGCCTGGCATGCTGCAGTCCATGGGGGTGGCAAACAGTTGGTCATTACTGAGCAACTGAACAACAACAAGAACAATTGAAATACAGAATCAGAATGTGGATTTACTAAAAACAAGTAAGCTTTCCTGGTAAAAAAAAATTAAATGAATATTTCAAAATCAAAACTGAAGTTGTTAGTAACCAGCACTCCTGTACTGGCTTTCACTTTCACTTCTTTTATGTTGCATGTTACCTTAGAAAAGTTTTACCTGTTTTAATCTTGAATGAATACCAGGAAGCAATCCATGCACTCAATCACATACTTTGTTAACTACAGTTAAGAGAACCACTTTCTTGCCTTCTCTTTTTTGCAATCTTTCAAAACATCCTTTGAAATGGAAATTTTAATAGAACTAAAATGTAAACTGGGAAGATCCCCTGGAGAAGGAAATGGCAACTCACTCTAGTATTCTTGCCTGGGAAATCCCATGGACAGAGGGGCCTGGTAAGCTATAGTCCATAGGGTTGCAAAAAGAGTCAGACACAACTTAATGACTAAACAACAACAAAATAGATACTAGGTGAATGCAAGGATTTTGCTGTATATTTTAACTTATCATCCTCTGAGAAGGGATTAGATGCCTTGAAAGTACTGTTTTTGTCATTTACTTAGACCTTCCCCCAGTCTTTCACCTTAATGTCTTTAAACTAACCTTCAGCACTTTTGCACACTATTGTGTAAGATGGGAATTTTTTGGAACACACTTATCACACCAGGAAACAAGCTAGTTGAACATCTCTCCTTGACTCTCCATATTTCCTTCTCCTCTGCTCCTGTAATATTCATATTACTGTATCATACAGATTCACAGAGCCTCAAAATGTGACCCTGGGCGAGAACTGCAGGTTGGTTCAATCCAGCTTCCTCATGTCATACATAAGAAAATTGAGGTTTTCCCAATCAACTAAAAAAGCAATCTTATTAAGCTGAACCAGTACACAGTAAACAAAAACGAAGGTAATAAAGTAAAAAAAAAAAAAAAAAATAGGAAGGACAAATAAAAGAGAGCAAGAGAGAAGGAGGAGGAGCATGAGGAAGAAGAGAGAAATGAACATAGAACAAAGGAGAAAATATGGATAAGATCAATGAGATAAATGTAACAATACTATTTGCTATCAAAGACTAAACACCACTATCTCTGGATAATCAACATGTGACCACAATCACAATTCAAATGAGCTAATGAATCTCAATTAAATACAAATGAGAGCAACTAATAGCAACTGAGTACTTCCTGTTTTCCAGTCACTGTGCAAAGAGCTTTTAATCATTAAACACACTATGAGGTAGAAGTTAATATTATCCTGTTTTAAGATGGGGACCAATGAAAGAGACAGCAAAGCAAAATATATTGTTACTCTAGACATAAAGATTCTTGTTACAATGCAAGCTTGCATCTTGTTGATTTTTGTCTTTAATTGGCATAACAAGAGACTGGCCACTTTCTAATAACTGGTAAGAAGAAAGATTCCAGAAACTCCAGAATTGTATTTGTCATTTTGGCCAAACAAGAACAGAACTCTCTTTATTACCCATCTTTCTCTCTCCTGTTTTACCTGTTTTAGCATGCTTTATATCTTGAAAAATTTGCCCAGCAACTGGTAATATCAGCTTTAACTTTATTTCTTTGAGATTAATTTGGCAACCACATGAATGAGTAAGATTCATTCTGCATCAAATCACTGTCAGTGCCCTCCTTATTGGATACAGGGGACTTTATGGTGAGAAATCAAGTAATTCCATAATACAAATGAAATTTAAATATATCATAGCATCTTCTAGAAGTAGCCTGGATCAGAGTATTAAGTCTCAGCTATAAGGATTTCTACTTTTTTTTCTTTACCTTCAAGAGGTCCCACAAGGTTACAAAAATGGTTGTGTTATAACAACACAAATAAAAAAGGAGATGCTGCATTTTACTATCTCATGAATGTATACATATAGGTGTAGGTATATGAAGAGGTATTCATGTCTAGAACACAGCTGCAGGGGTCTCATTTGTAACTGTCTAGGCAAGTGGGTCCCCAGAACTGTGTGGCACTCACCTGTGTGGCTGTGCACACTGGCCCTTAGAGTTCCTACACCTGTATGCGTCTGCATATTCAAATTTGTAAGTTCAGAATTTGGAAAGGGAACACAAAAATTATTTCCTCTATTAATACATGAGTATACTTTGAATCCAGAGAAAGTGACTTGTCAAAGTCAAAAAGTCATGTAAGTGGCAGAGCTAGAATTAAGTCCCTAGGTACAGTGATTCCAATTTGGGACGTTTGGCCTCAACATTATACCGCATTGCCTAAACCTGTACATTACAAGCTCATCTATCCTACACACACAAATGTAAACCTCTCATCTGTTATAAACATATATTTATATATAGTAACATGTAATATTATATAGAGTTGGGCCATTATGAATACATATTTCTAGGTGCAACAGCATAGTTCTGATTGGTTCACAGTTATATTTAAAAAATAATCATTTGCGAGGGAAGGTCCTAAGAAGGCAGAGGAATTGGATGGGGAGTTTACTTTCTCCTCCACAAATTCATCAAAAGATCATTTGAATGCTGAGCAACTTCCACAAAACAACTTCTGAATGCTGGCGGAGGACACCAGGCACCCAGAAAGGCAGCCCATTCTCTTTGAAAGGAGGAAGGACAAAATTATACAAAAGACAACAGAGAGACAACAGAGTTAGGGACAGAGATCCGACCTGGGGAGGGAGTCGTGAAGAAGTTTCCAAACAGTAGGAGACCCTCTCACAGGCAGGTCTGTGGGGAGTTTTGGAATCTCAGAGGGCAACATAACTGGGAGGAATTAAAAAAAAAAAAAAGCCCACAGAATAGGCGCCTAACCGCAACTCCCAGCAGAGAAGTAGCCCGGACGCTCCCATCTGCCACCAGCCAGCAGGCACTGGACAGGGAGGCGTGGGTGGCATCATCAATTCTTAGGGTAAGGACCAGGCCTGAATGCCCTGCGGACAATCTAAGGGAGCTAATGTGAGATAGCAGCCCAAACTGCGGGATTGCCAGAGAGGAAAAGAAAAGAGAGAGAGAGAGAGAGGACTTGACCTAAAAAAGGCTCTAATTCACAGCCTGGCCGGCTCACAAAGGATTGAGCGAACAGAGGAGAGCAAGCCGGCTGCGTCCAGGCCCCTCCCCCGCGCCGGAGGCAGAGAGGCAGGCGGGCGGCAGCTCCAATCTCAGCTCCAGAGACCAGAGACCAGCACCCTCCACCAAACTGTGAGCAGGCTCTCGGCTGCTGACCCTGTCTTCCTGGGATCTTGGCTGGTTGACATCTGCCAGAAGGGTCGCAGCCCGATATCAGCTCCCCAGAGGAGACACACGGCTCACCTGAGATGATGCTCTCGCTCTCGCAGCACACCCGGGAGACCAAGCGGCCAGGACTGGGGAGGTGGTTAAGACGCACGGCCTCCCTGGGACAGTGCGCTCACCAAGCACTCGGTCTGAGCTGCTCAGACCTGGGAAGGGCACAAAATGCACGCCCACTGAGTCTGTGCCCTTGCGGAGCACCTGAGAACCTGAACCTGAGCGGCTTTGACCTGGGACGTGCGTGAAATGCGGGGCTCGCTGTGGACAGTGCCCTGCAGAGCACCCTGGAGCCTGATCAGTGTAGACCCGGCAAGCATACGCCGCTGTAAGCTGGGGCAAAGCCAGTGTGTCCGTACACTGTGGGCACTCCCCACACACGCCAGTGATATTCGTCTGCAGGGTTCCTTCCTCCCCACAACACAACTGAACAAGTGAGCCTAAATAAGTGACCACCCTGGCCCCCTCAGACACTGGAAATTAGACACCAAAGAGATTTGCAAGCAGAGGAGGCCAAAATAAACAAAGAAGAGGGAACCGCTCTGGAAGTGACAGGTACAGATTAAAACCTTGCCGTTAACATTGACTACATTGCCGTTAAGCTTTGGAGGGGGCCTATAGACCTTGAGAACAAGTACAAGCTAGAACAAGGAACTATCTGAAACTGAATTGACCCCACACTGCCCACAACAGCTTCAAAGAATTCCTAGATATATTTTTACTATTACCACTTTTTAAATTTTTTAAAATTTAAGTTCTTTATTACTTCTTTAATTTTCATTTTTATAACCTACTATTACCTTACCAAAAAAAAGACCCTATTTTTAAAGCAAATTTCATATATATATTTTTTATAATTTTTAGATTATTGATCTTGTGATTGATTTTGTTTTGTATTTTTAATATTGTATTCTTGAGAGTCTAAACTCTATTCTAGATTTTTAGTTTTTGCTTTTTGGTATTTGTTACCAATTTTGTACCTTTAAGAATCTTATCTTCAGTATCCATTTTCACTTAGGGGTGTGATTACTGGCTTGATTGCTCTCTCCTCTTTTGACTCTCCCTTTTCTCCCCCAGGTCACCTCTATCTCCTCCCTCCCCCTTCTCTTCTCTACTTAACTCTGTGAATCTCTCTGGTGTTCTGGGCTGTGGAGAACACTTAGGGAACTGATTGCTGGTTAGATTGGTCTCTCCCCTTTTGACTCCCCCCTCTTCTCCTCCTGGTCACTTCTATCTCCCTCCTTCCTCTTCTCTTCTCTATGTAACTCTGTGAATCTCTTTGGGTGTTCCAGACTGTGGAGAGCACATAGGGAATTGATTATTGGCTAGATTGCTCTCTCCCCTTTTGACTCCCCCTGGTCCTCCGTGAATCTCTGGGTGTC